CTTAGGTTGCCAACATTATATAAATTGAGGACTGAGTTCATTTTTTCACTAAACTGTAATGTGAAGTTTAAGTGAATATTTTTTTTCCCCTCGGTGACAGAACAATATAAATATTGGATGCATCAGATCAGATATTTTCAGTCATCTTTTTCTGCATATTTTTGAGCATAACTTTCTGGCCCTTTTATCATCAGACAACACACAACAGAAATGCTTTGAAGCTCTTTACAGCACTCACACAGAGGAACCCAATAAATAAAATGAGATCAAAGCAAAATGACTACAATAAAGCTCATAATAATACCTTTTTATGGGTCTCGTGGTTGTTATTTCCAAGTCTTCTGAAAGAAAATACTGATTATCTATGAAGAAGAGTACATCTAAAGGTCACGGATATGTTAAGTGATCTTTGGATTGTGAAATATACCAATTGGTAACAATAGGTCTGTTGGGAAACAGCTACTCTGCAATACTCTCAAAACCTAATGCTATGTAATGTGGGCTACAGTCAAAGCTTGCATTGTATTTCAAGCAGATGGCAACCCATTTTAAGGTGGCAACCTGTCCTCTCCTTGGGTTACCACCTTATCGTGGTGGAGGGGTTTGCGTGTCTCAATCATCCTAGGAGCTATGCTGTCTGGGGCTTTATGCCCCTGGTAGGGTCACCCAAGGCAGACAGGTTCTAGGTGAGTGACCAGACAAAGTGCAGCCCNACACATAGTTTGATATTGTCCACAGAAAAAGTTTGCGTGGCTGCCTCACATTTTCAAGCCAGCGAAAAGTGTGCATATACAGTGCAAAGCGTGCAAACTTTGACGTAAATTAAATTTTTATACATGCCGACTTGTGCGTAAAATATGGCGCCACACATCTTTTGTGCGCACGCACGTTTTATGCATGAGGCCCCAGAACATTCTCCTCTGTCTATGTCATTGATGGTTGTTGCTATGGGCACTATTTTTAGGCAGAGCAGTAAGCAAGCTAGGTGGAAGAAGTACTAGTACCTTTTATTTTGAAATATGGGCCATTTGTGTTTGAAGTGCTTCTTCCATTGTAAACACATGTTGAAGCCTTTGTATCGTAACAGGTCTGAAGTTTACAGTATCTTATCTTCTTAAGTTTAATACAATAACTCAAATAACAGCTTTATCACCTAACTCACAAAGTAAAAAATCTACTTTTTTTCTGAAAATCTGGTCATTTTTCCTTTATGTAGAGCACAGCGTGAGGGTATATGCTGATGTTTTCTGAAGGTGTGGTTACTTCCTTTCTGGGGTCATAATACATTTCCCACGTGCTTGAGGACCTCTTAAAAAACATCATGTAATGTGTGTCAGACGTTGGACCCTCCTAAAATGCAATGACGGCTTTTAGTGTGAATTTCTCTCCTTGAAGTTGCAGAGTAGATGGGAATTCACTCAGAGAAAACTGTTTTGGATTGGATTGCTTCTGAGTTGTGGTACAGCTTTTCTCAAGGTCTGTTTCAAACCAGCCAAGTTCTCTCAAGCTGTTCTCCCAACTACCCCTGCACAGAGCATTTTTCCCTGACATGTATGTTTTAAATACTGTTAGAAATTATCTTTAAAATGATAATGGCACAAACGAAAATATATTGAATACGGTTATGAATGTTATTGCATTAACCCAACAGATTTTGTTTACTTACAGTTTGATATTGGCTTCAGTTTGTGTTGTTTAGCTGTAAAATGTTCCAGTTGCACTTTCTGAAATATTAAGTCGTTCACATCAGCACAGTTTTCTCAGCAAAACTCTTAGAATCACAAATTGTTTTTTGATCACTAAAGTGATCATTTGTCCATGTAATCCTCCCATTCTCCTCACACTGACTGTTCTCTGCAAGAATAGCAGACTTCATTTTTCCTTGATTTAAAAGAACCTGCTGCTGCTTTCATTTGCAGAGTAAAGCATCTTTTTTGTGGTTTGTAGAAGTCTGTTTGATCCATAATCTGCTAAATAAGTTTTGCTGACTTCTCAGGACCCCACTCTGGTATGCAGTCTTTTGAAGTAGCCATTTTTTAGTTGCGTCCAAATGTCAAAATATGCACAACAGACTAAAAACGACGGAAAGCTTTGAAAACATGAATTGATTCACAGTATTGACTCAAATTTGTGTTACGGCAAATTTAAAAGGTGCTTTGACATCTGAAAGTGCTTCAGCAGATTATACTGAAGCAGCAAATGAATGGGTATTAGCGTTCCTGCTGTGCCCAAAGCCATGGCAACAACAACAAAAGCTGCAGGCCGGTGAACACTTGCAAACTGCTTACACTGAAATTTTACATTGACTAACGAAAGCGATTGGAAAGGTTTTCTTTGATCTCCATTCCACTGGAGTTAAAACAACCTGGAACTTTTTAAAAAGCAAAGCAGGTAAAGACTGAGGAGATTGCTCTCACCATAAGAGATCTAAATAGTTTCAGTGACTAGTTGTCTAACACCTATGAAAACCAAAAACATTATACATGTTTTTTTTTTTTTTGTCTCTTTTCCTACACAAATCTGCTGGAGCCTGCCTTTTGAGTTGTTTTCATGTCATATTCACCCTTTAAATGTGCTTTCATAGTCATGTGATATTCATTGCATATTTTCTCATTTAAAATATATTTACAGGACATAGTCATTCCACTAGTGTGTGTGTCAGTAGCATGTCAGTCTCCATCATAGTTTTTTTAATTTTTTTTATTTTTTATCCTTTACATGATTGTATACATATTTTGTTTCTTCTTTTTATAAAACAATTTACAGAGCAAATATATTTTTTGGGCTTCCAGCTCTTAAAACCCACAAAAACAGGAATTCAAAACTTTAGAATACACTGATCATCATTTATTTATTTATTATTCATTTGTTTATTCATCCTTAGCATCCAAGTCAGGTTTCTACTATATTTTTATATTAATTGAGATATATTTATAATTATTTAATTCAGTTATCTGGCTTGCTGAGTTTTTTATTTTTATTTTGTTGTTTTCTTTTGTACACAATGACAAAAAAAATGACTATACTTCTGTTATCGCGTCTCTTAATTTTCAAAGTTCAGTTGTTCAAAACTAACTTTTTATATACAAAAAAATAATATTTAAGTACCAATGTTATTCAGGTAAAACAGTTGAAATTTAGCAGACATGGAATTTATTTATTTTTTTTCTGGCTTTGAATACATTTAGGTAACAGTGCTGCAGTTCTGACCACTTTCAGTCAGGTTTTCCTGGATCCTATTTAACTTCTGAGAGTATCTAATGACTAACGCAGAATGCTTATCCTGCTAATTTTGGACTTTACCTTTGCTTTCTGCTTTTTGTTGGACCACCACATTCTATGTTGCTGTACTGGGAGCGGGTTTTTTATACCTATATGGCAACATTTTTTTTTCTGGCTACTTATTAGTGCAGACCTCCTAACCCTAACCTCCCTTTGAAGCAGCCCCTTGTTCAATGTTTTGCTTTGGAATGATTGTGTGCTGGAGGGTCTGNATTTTAAGGTGGCAACCTGTCCTCTCCTTGGGTTACCACCTTATCGTGGTGGAGGGGTTTGCGTGTCTCAATCATCCTAGGAGCTATGCTGTCTGGGGCTTTATGCCCCTGGTAGGGTCACCCAAGGCAGACAGGTTCTAGGTGAGTGACCAGACAAAGTGCAGCCCAAAAACCCCTATGATGAACACAAACTTTGGACTTGGTGTGCCCTTGCCCGGACGCGGGTCACCTGGGACCCACTCTGGAGCCAGGCCTGGAGGTGGGGCATGATGGCAAGCACCTGGTGGCTGGGCTTTTACTCATGGAGCCCGGCCGGGCTTAACCCGAAGAGGAGACGTGGGTCCCCCTTCCAATGGGCTCACCACCTGTCGAATGGGGCCAAAGGGGCCGGGTGCATTGTGCGATGGGCGGTAGCCGAGTGAGGGTACCCTGGCGGTCCAATCCTCTGATGCAGAAACTAGCTCTTGGGATGTGGAACTTCACTTCCACATCCCACATGTTGAGGGGATCCGTTTTGGTGGCCTTAGGATGGCATCTATGCTTTTTGCGAGAGCTGCAGATCATCAGGTTGTGATCTGCAGCTCTCGCTGGAGTCGCTCACAGCCGAGTGTGAAGCGGCTGGGATGACAATCAGTGCCTCCAAATCCAGGGCCATGGTCTTGAGCCGGAAAAAGGTAGAGTGCCTTCTCCGGGTCAGGGAGGGTGTCCTGCCCCAAGTGGAGGAGTTTAAGTATCTGGGGATCTTGTTCACGAATGAGGGAAGAAGGTTGCGGGAGATCGACAGGCGGATGGGTGCAGCATCTGCCGATTTTTGTTTGTGTTCAAACAAAATATTAAAATCATGAAAAAAAACATCAGATGTGATGCTTCTTGGTCTAAATAACATTGAATATATCAGATTTCAGTGTATTTTGGTGAGTTTTGACACATAGTTTGATATTGTCCACAGAAAAAGTTTGCGTGGCTGCCTCACATTTTCAAGCCAGCGAAAAGTGTGCATATACAGTGCAAAGCGTGCA